TCTTTTGCAGACACCCATTTCCCCAGGAGGAACATGCCAAACAGGGCATCCAAAACCGATGGTAGATGATGTTTTAGTAAAACCAAGCTGAGGTTGAAGCGCCATGGATACAAGCTCACGTCCACTCCCAAGAATTCCTTTTTTAAAGCTGGTCCCACCCTCACTCATTCCTATGCCTCTCCTCCCGAAACGACATGAAAAGTCCGCTTTTCCAATGTCGCTGCTGTCTTAATGCCTGAAGTCCGTGTAGCCAAATGAACGCTTCTTTTACGGTGCGTTGGGTGGAGAAGAAACACGCAAGTGGTTCACAGAATCTATACGCTAAAACAGTGATGATGAACCATGAAAAATCGGCATTGGAAAACCTCGAAATCAGCAAAAATGATCTCAGCGGAAAACTGATCGATTTGCATTCAGCTGACGCGCGTGGTATGAATCCGCCTCTGGCGTCGTTTGAAAAATTCTACCGCTGGCGCGAATTTTCAAAATTAGCTGTGCGCACAGTGAGTGAGCGTCATCCTGACGTGTTTTTCAATGATTGACCAAGTTTGGCTTGTAAATGCACGTTTATTTTGTTTTAATGCAGGGGATACGTGTTCATCGCTACAAGGAGCGACGCCGAAGCTTGAGACCGTGTGTAGTCAACCCCTCGCAAGGATAGGGGAGGGTGCTCATGTCGTTAGGGGGGGGCATTGAAGTGAGTGAGTCACTCACAGAATTTGTGACTTAATCTCAAGGGCGAGAAGGGACATGAGCAACTTTCTTCCCGTGGCTTTTTCTTCCTCCTTTTGGATCTCGTCCTAGCGTGGGTGTGGTTCGCTAGGAAAGAAAACGATCTCTCCGTATTTCGCAGAGCGGAGCTTTTTTAAGAACCCAGTTCCAATCATGATCAGCTGTGGACCTGGGGTTCCTGCAGCGAAAAATGTTCTACGCTGCAGAAAGCGAAAGAGTCGCTTCCTATCCTAGTGAGACACACCCTCCTTTAAAGTTGTCACCTACCAGCGGTTTTTGAATAAGCCACTCCTTTCTACGCATCCCCCCTGCGGACGTGACTGCCTATGGAAGAATTCTTTCCAATTTGTTTCGGTGCTGTCGCAATAAGGTTGAGGGCAGTTTGGTGCAATACCTCGCGCTAACTGCAGTAATTCCTATTTTCGCAGGGCAGGAAGCTCCGGGATGGGTGAAGCAGTTCGCTCGTGTAAGAAAGGGACTACGTACCCTTGATTTCTAAGGACGAGAAGAGCGTCGAGTCAACACACATAAAGGACGAATGGTCGAGAAAAATGGCTTTTCTCTTGGATGGCTTCACCTTTGGTGTGTGGTCTGCACTCGGCGCCCTTCTCGTCTTTGAAACAGAAGGTGCGTCGTCGCCGCGGCGCGCGACATGTTCACTCACCTCATTGTCTGTGTGGAGCGGGAAATTTCGTGAGCCAGGGGGAGTGTAGCCAGTCTAGCGGAGGGTGGGGGGGGGTGAGGCAGTCACTTGACGAAAAGTTGAAATGTTCGAGTTCCCACTATGTCATGAGTGCCCCCCCCCCCTTAGTTGCGGTTCACTAGGGCAGAAATAGGGCAGAAAGCGATGATCAGTGGTGGACCTTGGGTTCCTGCAGCGAAGAAACATTCGTGCAGCGGAAAGCGGAAAAATCGCTTTTGTCCTAGTGAATCTCACCCGAAATTTATGACATTATTCCTCATCAAAACTGAATGTCAAATTTTTTTGAAGTTCATCCATGAAGATTATTTTATGCCCGGATCATGAGACGACATCCACTTTTGGCGCCAGCTTGCTGCCAATTTAGTACAGAATGGCGCCATCGTCAGAAATGGACGTGTATTCATGACCAGAATGTCGAATAATTCGGGTGTGGTTCGCAAGGATAGCGATTTTACCGCTTTTTGCTGCGCGAAGTTTTTTTTTCCGCTGCAAGAGGGAGAGTGGACATAGGGTTTTTGCAGCAGAAAAAGTTTCAAGCAGAAAGTCACCTTCTCTCCTTGCAAACCACATGAATTATTCCTGCAATAAACCCATAGACTCAACGAGAGCGAGATTGCGAACAAGCGTCTATATCTACGGAAATTACTCGGCACTCGTTTGCAGACCGACTAATCCATATCTTTTCATGTTTTTGTTTTCAGGATATCATGCTCTTCAGTACCTCATTGGAACGGACCATGACAAGCATTGGCCGATGTCAGACTTTGCGATTGGAGCGATTTTGCACCAATTGCAGGAGCGACGGATCGCTTGAGCGATGCGAGCGACGGGAGATTTACGAACTGATGGCGCCGAATTATCGGTGGTCGGCGGTGTAAATCTCCCGTCGCTCGCAGCGATGGATCGCTCAATCCGTCGCTCGCAATCGACTCAAATCGTTGGTCGGCCTGCGATTGTAGCAAAATTCGCTCCAATCGCAAAGTCTGACATCGGCCATTAGTGCGAGATGATCAATATTCGTGAGCAGTAATGATGAACTCCGCCCACGGTGCAAATTTCCGAACTTCCGTGAACACATGTCAGCTTTTGTCAGGTGCGCAAGTTACTCTATTTTGCTAGGAGACACTGTTCTAACTTATCTTATACTGTAAGCATCATGTGACGCTGTGAATCGTCGCGCCAGTACGAAAACAAATCAGTGCTGTACTCGGTTGGCTTTGCCATTCATACTGGAGGAAGAATAACAATTGCAAAAATTGAAATAAAAAATCAAACTTGATATAAATAAGCGTTCGCTAATGGGACCGTTCAGAGTTGGAGATCGTACGTGCGATCACGCGACTAGTCTAGATGAAAAATAGGTGCTAACTTAGTTGGGAAGGACACACAGCGGCGTGGCGCTCTGTTCGTCTGCTCTCCTAAGGGCTTTTAGTGGCCGATGTCAGACTTTGCGATTGGAGCGATTTTGCACCAATTGCAGGAGCGACGGGAGATTTACACCGCCGACCACCGATAATTCGGCGCCATCAGCTCGTAAATCTCCCGTCGCTCGCAGCTCCCTGCCACAACGGCCAAGGAGGCACATCACGGCCCGAGCGATGGATCGCTTGAGCGATCCGTCGCTCAAAGTGCGAGCGACGGGAGATTTACCCGAGCGGCGCCGTGTGTATCGGTGGTCGGCGGTGTAAATCTCCCGTCGCTCCTGCAATTGGTGCAAAATCGCTCCAATCGCAAAGTCTGACATCGGCCAGTCCAAGGGCAGTTATTTCGTCGCCACGTGGCAGTTTCGAAATACGCACCGGCGGAAAACCTTCGGAAGAGCAGACGCCGTGCCGCCGCGTGCCCCCCCCCCCAACTAAGTTAGCACCGAAAAATATGCGTGTAGATTGGGCGGTTAGGCCTGGAAGAGCACATTGTGTATTGGGTGGTTTGCTCCGATCATAGAGTGCTGTAGGCGAGTAGGCGATTAGGCGATCGCTCAATGGGCGGAGCAACAAATCAATACGTATCCTTCCCTTATCGCCTACTCGCCTACTCGCCTAATCGCCTGATCGATACGTATACTTCTCTTTTTGAACATCGCCACACCCCCCTCGCACGTGCGATCGCCAACTATGATCACTCCGTAAGCGTTGAAACAGATTACCGACTATTGCAACCCCCGTTGTTGTGGGTACGACAGCGATTCGCGATTACGATTGGCGCGTTCCGTAAGGTAACTTCTACGTGTAGTCCGTGGAATAGTTGACAAAATTCTCTGAAGTTTCACCTGCAAGAGTTATTCAATGATCTTGTCTCGAAAAGGACATTCGTTTCTGACGTTGGCGCCATTTGGCGCCGATTTCGCTTAAAATTGCGAGGAACTAGTGCTGGCGTCAAGAGTCCCGTCTTCGTGAGCCAAATTTGCGCGAATTGATACGGCAAAAGTGTCAAAAATAATGTGGTTTCCGTGGTCAGGGGACTGGATAAGTCCTAAAGGCAAAGTTTTTGCGATTTTTTCTTTAAACCATGTGGTGTCAACTGGTGTAAGCGGCTGAGGTTGTGTAAAAAAAAAGGTGCGGAAAATTAATTCCTTGTGCCTTGGCCAGATATGGCTCTTGATGTGGCGAGAAAATTATGTTCTCCAATACTATTTATTTTCTATTTCCATTCTTCATAAGAAAGGTTAGAAATGAAGACCATACAAAAATTTTTACAGTTGTTTGGTCAACCATAAGATCATAAAAGTATCGATCCTAAGCGCTTATCGACCCGAACACCGCTTTACGAGTCTTTTGTTACTCGTCAAAGCCCTTGCAGACAGATGTCGCCAAAATCACAGCCTGCTCACGACACTGGTAGCAGTCTAGACCGCGTCAGCCACTTCAGATCGTAAGGCTGGTGTCAGAGTCCGCGATCCGTCGCAGGTTTCGCTGATTTTCGCGATTTGCGCGATTCACGCGACGGGTCACGGAAAGTGCCCGATCAATACTGCAAGGTGTTCTCCAATCCTGCCGCCACTTCTGCTTGATAGTGATGGCTGAATGACGACTGCTCATGATTCCACTTGTTTCATATTCAGTGTTTCAAATGTTCACACTTGCAATTTTTGCGATCCGTCGCAGGTTTCGCGCAAATCGCGCAAATCGCGTGAATCGCGCAAATCGCGAAAATCGCGAAAATCAGCGAAACCTGCGACGGATCGCGGACTCTGACACCAGCCTAAGTGCGGTCGCGCGATTGAATCGCTAATTATGAACGCGACCTGGTTGGAAAGGTGCCGGTTCCGCGAGAAACTGCAAACTCGCAGCTTTAGTATTTCAAGCCAGGAATTGATTCACACTAGGAATACCAGCCCTTTATTAACAAAAATTGGTCATTACATGTGAGAAGATACAACAGTAGCAAAAAAAGAATAAAAAGTTCAGGCTACAGGCAAGGAGATCAAACGTATATTTATCGATAGAAATAGTGTGTAAACGAATCAAACGAGGTAGGAAATCAGAAACGGTGCTCGTTTGAAAAAATAATCGGAAGTCGGATTATTTACCAAATATTACACTGTTATTTTATGTTATCTTATGTGTTACACAGCATCCGATGACTTTCTTGGAACGACCATACATTTATAGTTCATTGGCACATTAGTTATGCCTAGACTTCGTTGCAGTGATGGAAGTGGTTCCCCTTCTAGAAGTAAGTAAACTTATTGAAGATGGTAAAGTCTCCTAGCTATCGACCGAAACACACTCACCTATAGGCAGGAACTCGTATTTCTGTATCAACGTGGTGAGAAGTAGGAAGAGTTCATATCGTGCGAGATTCTCGCCGAGACAGGTTCTCTTACCCATTCCGAACGGATTCATTTCGGGCCTTCTCTTGAAGCAGCCGTCGGCATCAAAGAATCTCGTATAACTTCGTTGGACTTGGAATTAACGACGGTTATCACTATTTTTCCTGCCAATTTGGTAGTGCACCTGAATAAAACCAGGTGGCACCATGCGCTGGATATTGAAGAACAGGATATCTGCCTACTGTAAAGTGAGGCTGGGACCCAGTCTAGGAAAAGTCTAGGAAATCGACGACGCGGCCCTTTCGCGACAGAAACGTGGAGTTACGTGGTGACCGCCGCCTTTGTGGAAAGCCCCACCTGATTGGTGGCGGACTAAGGTCGATCTTTGCGAATCGAGCAATTCGCTAGCGTCCGCGGTCGCGTCGCGGTACAGCTAATCAAGCCATTCGCTGGCCGCGACGCGACCGCGGACGCTAGCGATTCGCTCGATTCGCAAAGTCTGACATCGGCCTAATCCTATGATCGGTTGGAGGTGAAAGGTTGCCGTGTGCGGAGAGAGAGTGCAGAAATGCAGAGCAACCCTTTCACATCGACGACGTCGTTTGTCATAGAATTTCATGGAGGCGCCGAGTGATTCTGTGGTAATGACGTTACCGAGGCAATCAACGGATAATAAAGAGATTCTATTTCGCGGAGTTCAACCGCTTCCCATCATTTTTCTTCACCAGTGCACCTTTTGACGCTTATATTTCAATTTTTACGGGAACCAAGTTAAGGCGTTACACGGCTTTACATATTGCGTACGCCGTGCAAACTCTCCGTTTGTCGCGCATGACTTGATGCGACATAAGTGCGAGGTAATTATGTAATAAGCAATGCCGAGTAATTTCGTCGTGATTAATCGTTGGCTTGTACCTAGGAAAGGCCGGTGACAGACTTTGAGAATCCAGCGTATCGCGGGGTATTAGCGATGAGTCAGCGGTTCAAACGAGGAAAAAGAAGAGTCCCTTTCACGCACGTAGGCCTCTTTCCCATGTTCTTAAGCCTTTGCGCTTTCTAGTTGTAAAGTCCTTGCGAGCCCGACATAGTGGCGATGGCCTACGTGGCGATTCGCTAGCGAATCGCTGGATCCGAGCGTTGCGCCAGCGAATCGAACGTTGCACCAGCGAATCGAACGATGCACCAGCGAGTCGAACGATGTACCAGCGAGTCGAACTATGTACCAGCGACTCAATAGTGGCGGGACCCAACGTTCAAAGGAAGCCCGCCACTTTCAAACAGTGTCACGTGACAGTGGACCCTTTTTGAAAGTGGCGGGACTTGACAGTGGACACTGTTTGAAAGTGGCGGGCTTCCTTTGAACGTTGGGTCCCGCCACTATTGAGTCGCTGGTACATAGTTCGACTCGCTGGTGCATCGTTCGATTCGCTGGTGCAACGTTCGATTCGCTGGCGCAACGCTCGGATCCAGCGATTCGCTAGCGAATCGCTCGATTCGCAAACTATGACATCGGCCTAAATTGTGCGAATGCTGGCACTAGACGGTAGTTACAGTTCACGACTCGCCGTCTGATTGGGCGGGTTCACGGATTTGACGTGGCGGCAGCCGCTATTGATAGAAGTCGGGTGAAAAAGCTGTTTCCCTGATGTTTTGCTGATTTCCATCGAAGTAAACAGTGAATCCTCATGAATAGGGCAACCAGGGCGTCCCTACTCAGTACATCAAGGATTCTCGTGAGCTCTACAGCAACTTTACGACCAGATCTCACCATTCTACAAGGAGGTCATCATCGACGTCAAGAGAGGGGTTCGACAGGGCGACACCATCTCGCCCAAACTCTTCAGCGCCGCTCTCGAGAACGTCATGCGTCAACTGGAATGGGAAGACATGGGAGTGAAGGTCGACGGCCGGCAACTACACCACCTTCGTTTTGCTGACGACATCGTTCTTATAACGCCGAACATCGAGCAAGCGGAGCGAATGCTGGCTGATTTCGACTGCGCCTGTGGTAAGGTTCGGTCTACAGCTGAACCTAACGAAGACGATGTTTATGAGAAACGGATTGGTTCCTGATGCCCCATTCACGCTCAACGGAACGAATCACCGAATGCTCCAGCTACGTGTACCTAGGTCGGGAAATCAATATGATGAACGATCTAGCTCCAGAGCTGAGCAGGAGGAAACGAGCGGCTTGGGGAGCGTTAAGAACATCGAGGGAGTAGTGAAGAAGACGAAGAACATCCGGCTCCGTGCCCACCTCTTCGATTCCGCTGTCCTTCCTGCCCTAACCTACGCCTCAGAGACTTGGACTCTGCGCAGGCAGGACGAGCATGCGGTCAGCGTTATCCAACGCGCTGTCGAGAGGACGATGCTAGGAGTAACCCTATACACGCAAGTGCAGAGGGGAATCCGGAGTTCAACGATCGAAGATCAGGGACGCTGCCGTTTTCGCCAAGGAATCGAAGATAAGGTGGGCCGGACACGTCATGCGATTTTGCGATGACCGTTGGACCAGAGCGGTTACCGACTGGATCCCTCGGGACGTCAAACGAACACCTGGACGACCGCCGGCCCGATGGTCAGACTTCTTCACGAAAGCTCTGAACGAAAGGAATGAACGTGTCCCTCGAGCGAGGAGGATCCACTGGACCACTCTAGCACGCGACAGGGACGAATGGAGACGTTGCTGGCGCCCGCTCGAGCAATCGACGATCAACGGGACGACAGGTGATACAGGTGATGTTGGAAACAGCTGATTAACGCGTCTTCTTTCGAGTGTGGCGGCGGTCCGCTAAATCCATAGAGCCGCCTAAACAGACGATGAGATACGGACTTTACCAAGTAAGAACGCCTGAATTCTTTCGGAAGGTCGTATTGCCGATTTGGCCTTTCTAGTACCTTATAAAATCAAAAACGTGGCTTACCTTTCTGGTCTGAACTTGTCCGGTTCAGGGAAGTATCGTGCGTCATGGTGTACGGTTCCATACTGAGGCAATATGACAGTGCCTTTTGGTAGACGGAATCCTAACAGTTTGACGTCTTCCATTGTTCTGTAAAGCGCATGGTTGTGGATCATATAGTTTTGGGGGTCTCATCCAATAAGAGTGGTATGTGGTGGGCAGTTCATATCGCATGAAGTAATGTGACTTTTACGAAGACGAGGGAAGCTCTGGGGTGGGTGTAAAACTTTAACCAAAATGCTTCGCGCACCGCGGTGATTGTCGTATGTCCACCCCCTCCCCTACTGGATGGGACCCGTGTTTTTTTATGTTTTTTTTTCTAGTTATCAGTACTAAGGAACAACTGAGTCCAGACACTGACGAATACTTTTTCTTATGGTGAGTCTTGTGTAATTGCGGACTATGCACGTGGCGTGTGGCATAATACCATCGAGAGCTTCAATATACAAATGATATAGATTTTTCGACACTATCGCAACGTAATTCTGCTTCATCCGTGTGATTATGAAAAAAATGCAAGATTTTTCGGATTTTGACAAAACTCCCAAATTTCAATGATTATTATATGTGTGTAGACGAACCTGTGAGGAATAGCCCATGGCAGAACATTTGTGATACGTTGCAGTTCGGTAATAGTTGCTTCCACATAAGGGAGTTGCTTGCGGCGCGCAT